CCCGTTTCTGCCCTAGAATATCCTCAGCCAAAGCTGTTTTCTGTCTCCGCAGTTTAACTTTATGGAGTTTTCATGGCCTGCTTGTGCTCAGCAAAGCAGTTTTGCTCCAGGTTTTTTTTCCCGTTGCGCTCAGAATCTCCAAGCTGCTGTTCTGGCATCCCTTTCTAGAGCTGAGAAGCATCCTTTAGTCTCTGGCTGTGCCGTTAATTACGCTCCTTGGACCAATTGTATTTCTGCTTCGCTTTCTGAAATGCACGTCTTTTTTCCCACCCAGGGTTCGAACTCCAAACCCGTGGTCTCGTTTATAGCCGGAGTCACTGCTCCTCCGGGCAGGAGAATGGGCCACGCAGGAGCCATCATTGCTGGTGGGAAAGGTGGAGCCAAAGAGAAGATTGCAGCCCTGCAGAAGGCTGGGGTCATTGTCAGCATGTCTCCTGCGCAGCTGGGATCCACGATGTACAAGGTCAGTCGAGCAGTTCTTGAAAAAGCTGGGTAAACAAGGCTGCTTATTTGAGGAGTCCAGGCAGAACCCAAATCTTGGCTGCTGTGGAGCCTTCTCTATTTCTTTCTTAGGTGGGGTAAAAAAATGGACCGATTTGGAAATGTGCGTTCCTGCCCTTATTCGATCGTGCGTTGTGGCTTTCCTGGCTTAGGTCCCATTTCATGTTTCTTGCGAGGTTAAAATGAGGCAATTGTTACCTGCCAGGCTGAGATGGATGGATGGATAGATGGATGGATGATGATAGATGATAGGTAGGTAGGTAGATGACTGATGGATGGATGGATGGATGGATAGATAGATAGATAGATAGATAGATAGATAGATAGATAGATAGATAGATAGATAGATAGATAGATAGATAATAAATAAGTAGATAATAAATAGGTAGATGACAGGTGATAAATAGGTAGATATAGTGGTAGGTATGTATGTAGGTAGGTAGGTAGGTAGGTAGGTAGGTAGATAGATAGATAGATAGATAGATAGATAGATAGATAGATAGATAGATAGATAGATAGATAGATAGATAGATAGATAGATGACAATAATTAGGTAGATGACAGGTGATAAATAGGTAGATGATAGTGGTAGGTAGGTATGTAGATAGATAAGATAGATAATAAATAGGTAGATGACAGATAATAGGTAGATGATTATGTAGGTAGGTAGATAGATAGATCGATATATTAGTAGAAGACATAATAGGTAGATGATTAGGTAGGTAGGTAGGTAGGTAGGTAGATAGATAGATAGATAGATAGATAGATAGATAGATAGATAGATAGATAGATAGATAGATAGATAGATAGATAGATAGATGACATAATAGGTAGATGATTAGGTAGGTAGATATAATAGTAGATGACATAATAAATAGGTAGATGATAGATAGATAGATAGATAGATAGATAGATAGATAGATAGATAGATAGATAGATAATAAATAGGTAGATGATGGATTAGATAGGATAGATAGACAGACAGACAAACCTGTTACCCTTATTATGTTCTTGTATTGTTCGCTGCCCTTAGCACTCAGAAAACAAAGGGTCATTATACAGAATTACAGGCTGTGCAGCTTATCGATAGTGGCTGTAGCCCTCCGGATCAGCTAAAAAAATTCACGTTTGCCAGCCTCCGGCTCCGGCAGTTAGCACTCATCTGCCTTCTTGTGAGATCAGAGCATTTTGACAAGGTGCTATTTGCAGGCCAGGCCAGGCAGAGGCAGTCTGAGACAAAAGAAGAGAAACGGGAAAGGAAGACGATGGGGAAAAATTTGTTGCAGTTTTGCCTGTGGTTGTTAATGCTCGTGTCAGACGCACCGAGGCGCTTCTGGGTTGAAAAGATTAGCCAGTGACATCACCGTTGCCTCGAGGATGCCCACTTGAGGGTTCCTTTCATGCCCCCGGCAGGAGCTGGAGCAAAGGACAGGAGCTCACCCCATCCAGTGGCAACGCTCGGGTCTCAAACGCGAGCTTGCTCACCTCAACCGTGCAGCTTTGGTTAAAAACCTCCTTTTTCTCTTTCTTTTCTTCTTAATCCTCCAGGAGTTTGAGAAGAGGAAAATGCTATGAGAAAAGAATCTTAAGAACGGTCGGGATCTCTCTGCAAAAACCACGCACTCTTCACTTCCCTCCACGCCCTGTGTTCTTCGCGTACTCCAGTTTATTTGTCGGAATACAGCAGCGCTCTGTCTTACAAAGTCAAATTTTAACACCACCAGGGTTGGTTTTGGTGGTGGGTTCTTGATTTCACACATGATTGTACGTGATAAGTCAATAAATCAATCTACTACTATTACTAAATTCGATTTTTTTGAAGCATGGATGCTGGGTACCTTTTTTCTTGCAATGTTCGCGTTGTATAAACGGGATTTTTTTTAAAAAAAACCCCCCAAAAACGGTGCCTAAACTGTTCAGAAGTTTTACCGACTGCTAAAATGTATACTTTAATATTGCTTTTCTGTTTGAGTTTGGGGATGTTATGCTTTGTATCTGGCTGGCGGATGTGCCTAATGCAGAAAACTATGCTTCCTGTGGTTGGATTCACCTATTAGTCCTCAAAACAATTTTTTTTAAAAATATTCATTTTTTTCTCAGCTGTTTTTTTTTCTTTTCTTTCAAGGTGGTATTAAAATTCCAGGACAGAGTGAAGATTGTGGACTCAGTTTTGCTAGAGGTGAAAACTGCAGGCACCTGGGTGTGCAATTCATATTTTGTACTGATGCATTATATTCAAATTTTGCAAAAGCATCTTTTTTTTTAATCCAGATAATAGCACTGCTTAGTCTTTTCAAAATTAAATTTTAACACCACCAGAGTTGTTTTGGGTGGTTCTTAGGCAGGTAGGTGTAAAGTTCTCACTCGTGAAATTTTCCCAAAGGAATGAGGAAAAGAAATAGAAAAGGCTATTTTTTTTATATATCCGTGGACGAGGTATCTTGGAAAGTTTAAATAAAAAAAATCTGATCCTTTAGTTCCTTGCTCTGTTGAGCCCAGCCATGCTTCTGTTGGATGTTACATGTCTATAAATATTATGTAACAGTTTATTAAAATTCTGCATGTAGAATCCCCGTGTTGATTTTAGCGTGAAGACCAATCTCCACATAACATATATCGTTCTTTTACTTATATCTTCTTCCATAATAAACATTTTCCCATCAAGTTCTTTGAACTCCAACTTCCTGCTTCTGTTTCTACATTAGAATCTCTGCCGAGAGCAGGGCCAAAAAGCGAAAAAACTTTACATCACATTCAGGGTTAAAATAACTTTATCAAATGCTGTACAGGTAGAGTCCTTAGGTTACGACCATCATGGAGTCTTCATATTACAATCGTAAGTCTTGCCCATCGTCATAAACCTCCAAAGATTTTAACGTGTTTTTTTTCTTGTGGTAAATTTTTAAGCAAATACTTCGGTCCTTAAGCAGACACGTGGTTTGCTGTAAGCCGGTTTTGCTGAAGACGGGACGGCAGCACCAGTTTACCACCGAACCCGTTGTGAAACGTGGCCGTGAGACCACGGGACCCCGCAAACAGCTCAAAATGTGGCCTCGTTCATGTGACTGTCTGAACTTTGATTACAGACCATAAGAGCCGTGGTGGCACCGTGGTTAATATTGCAGTATTGTATAATGAGGGCCTAGATAGTTGGGGGTCCTGTAATCCGCTTAGGGCTGTAAAGCGCTGTGAAGAGGGTACATAACTCTTTTAAGTCAGGGGTCTTCAAGCTTGGCCCTTTTAGGACTTGTGGACTTCAACTCCCAGAATTCCTTAGCCAGGCACGAAGCCCACCCCCCCCCCTCTTCCCGGAAGGGAACAAGGAAAAGAGGTGAAGATGCGTATAACGTCCCGGACAATCCTGCGGATCCCGCTGGAAGCATCGTTTTACGTGCCACGTCAGGCATAGAACAGGTTATTTTAACGGTTTTTTAAAAAAATGCTTTTTATGTTGTAAGCTGCCCAGAGACGTTGGATAACAAGATGGGCGGCAGGTAAATTTCAGGACGGATAAATAAATAAATAAATAAATAAATAAATAATGCTTCCCCAAGGTCGGTTTGTCGTAACTTCCAATGGTTGCCAAGCCACCAGTCGTAAGCTGAGGACTCCCTGTACTGATATTTTAAGGGGGTCACGGAGTTACATATAAAGGAAGGGAAGATTCGTTCTTGGACGAAGCTGCTTTTGGTAGGAAACCAGCTTGAGGACTGCCTTTATTCACGATTCAGTGTAGTAAAGTTGGAAGGGACCTTGGAGGTCATCTAGTCCAACCCCCTGCTCAGGCAGGAAACCCTATACCATTTCGGACCAATGGCTGTCCAGTCTCTTCTTAAAACTTCCAGTGTTGGAGCATTCACCGCTTCTGGAGGCAGGTTGTTCCACTGGTTAATTGTTCTAACGGTCAGGAAGTTTCTCCTTAGTTTTAAGTTAATGAGGATGATGATGATGATAATGCTAATAATAATAATGCTAATAATGTTAATAATAATGCTAATAATAATAAAGTTGGAAGGGTCCTTGGAGGTCATCTAGTCCAACCCCCTGCTCAGGCAGGAAACCGTATACCATTTCAGACAAATGGTTGTCCAGTCTCTTCTTAAAAACTTCCAGTGTTGGAGCATTCACCGCTTCTGGAGGCAGGTTGTTCCACTGGTTAATTGTTCTCACTGTCAGGAAGTTTCTCCTTAGTTCTAGGTTGCTTCTCTCCTTGATTAGTTTCCATCCGTTGCTTCTTGTCCTGCCTTCAGGCCCTTTGGAGAACAGCTTGACTCCCTCTTCTTTGGGGCAGCCCCTGAGATATTGGAAGACTGCTACCATGTCCCCCCTCGTCCTTCTCTTCATTAAACTAGACATCCCCAATTCCAGCAGCCGTTCCTTTCCATAAATAATGACCCCAGTATCAAGTTCTGCTGTTTTTAAATAAAATGCGATGCTTGCCATCCTTAATGAGCGATAAATGAAATTTGATGAAGTTTTCGGTTTGGTCTTCATTAGGCCTGGAAATAAAACCGACAAAATGAAACCCGGCTGGTAATGTTGTGTGGCATTCATTACTTCCAAATGCTGAATTTGGAGGAAAAACAGAGCGGGGGGGGGGGGGGGGGGGGGAGGGGAAAAATACCAGCGTATTGACTCAGCCGTGTGCTTAGTTGTGGGACTCCCAAACACGGAGAATTTTTGACTTGGAGAATTTTGACCAAAAGCAAAATCTTTTCAAGAAGACACGTCCAGCCTCTGGGAAAATCCTTTTGGATTGATTTAATAATAATATTAATAAAGTTGGAAGGGACCTTGGAGGTCATCTAGTCCAACCCACTGCTCAGGCAGGAAACCCTATACCATTTCGGACAAATGGCTGTCCAGTCTCTTCTTAAAAACTTCCAGCGTTGGAGCATTCACTGCTTCTGGAGGCAGGTAGTTCCACTGGTTAATGGTTCTGTCAGGATGTTTCTCCTTAGTTATAGGTTGCTTCTCTCCTTGATTAGTTTCCACCCGTTGCTTCTTGTCCTGCTTTCAGGCACTTTGGAGAATAGCTTGACTCCCTCTTCTTTGGGGCAGCCCCTGAGATACTGGAACACGGATATCCTGTCACCCCTCGTCCTTCTCTTCATTAAACTAGACATCCCCAATTCCAGCAGCCATTCCTTATATGTTTTAGCCTCCAATCCCCTAATCATCTTTGTTGCTCTTCTCTGTACTCTTTCTAGAGTCTCAGCATCTTTTTTACATCTTGGTGACCAAAACTGGATGCCGTATTCCAAGTGTGGCCTTACCAAGACATTGTAAAGTGGTATTAATACTTCTCCATCCTTTTGTGCATACACAGCTCCACAATCGTGCAGAACTATAATTTACTTTTGAGAAAAACTATTTCAGGTCACAGAAATGGATATTCACGTAGTCGCCCACGGCCAGACCCTAAAAGGGGACTTACAACCCAGATTTGACAGTTCCAATGCCTACCCCCCACAGTCAGGGGACTACACTTTGTGTCCTCCTATTTTCCCCACAATAAAAAAACTTGAGAGGTGGGTTGGGCTGAGAAAGAGAGAGGGGCTGGCCCAAAGTCAATTGGCTTTCATGCCTAACGTGGGACTAGAACTTACTGTCTCCTAGTGATTGATTCAAAGTCACTCAGTCAACTTTCATGGCTAAGGCAGGACTAGAACTCATCATCTCCTAATGATTGGCCCAAAGACACCCAGCCAGCTTTCACGACTAAGGCAGGACTAGAACTCACTCTGATTGACCTAAAGTCGCCTAATTGGCTTTCCTATCTAGGGCAGGACTAGAACTTGGTATCTCCTGCTAATTGGCCCAAAGTAAAAAAAAACTGGCTTTCCAGGCTAAGGCAGGACTTGAACTCATGATCTCCCATTTTCTAGTCTGGTGTCTTAACCACTAGACCAGGGGTAGGCAACCTTGACTCTTTTATGACTCGTGGACTTCAACTCCCAGAATTCCTGAGCCAGCCATGCTGAGGGGAAAGGGAGAGTTTCCAAGCTGAGCCATGCTGGCTGAGGAATTCTGGGAGTTGAAGTCCACAAGTCATAAAAGAGCCAAGGTTGCCTACCTCTGCCCTATACCAATATCTTACAGAATATCCTATATAGAACGATATTCTTAGAAAATGAAAATATGGATAGTTGTAACCCATTGCTATATTTAAAAGTGTTTTAGATCTGCATCACATCAAAGTCACTTAGTGAATAACGGAGGATAACAAAAAAAAAAAAAAAACCTACCACATTTTTGCCAACCTTCCATGGGCTCGGATACTAAGCAAGAAGGGACTTAATTAACATTGGGATGAGAGACCACCAGGAGATTTTAGTCTGTTGTCTACCTTGAAGAAATCTGGAAGAAATCAACAGGAAGTCACATCTATATCCTTACCAAGAAGAGTTCGGAGCTCCATGTATATATATAAAAGACAATTGCATTTAAAAAAAACAAAACAGTATTTTTGGAAACCTTTAAGCTGGAGGGATCACAGTTTAGGTTTGAGATGTTTCACTCATACATTTAAGAGCCAACTTGCCAAAAAAAAAAACAGTGGCTCATCTTTCTAAAATGCTGCTCGGGAAGTTAAAATAGATACCAACCTAACTTTCTCCCACATTCTTTCTCCCACATTTTGAATGATTTTTTTCGAATTCCATCTTGTTGGTGAAGAAAATAATCCAATTTAGTTTTCTTGGATTCAGTAGCAACTGAATTCTCAGTCTGCTGGACCTGCTAAATTTAACAGGTACTTGATAGCCTGTGGACACGATTACTAGACCTTGTTCGTTATGTAGCCTTTGAAAAATGAGCCTTTTTCCAGCAGGGAAAAAAGAAACTTAGAGATCTAGACATGAACAGAAGAGAATAATTTGTAGGGTTGAACTCTGGAGTCGTTGGTGCTGTTGAAGGAAAAGTCTTCATCATGGTTCAGTCGAAGCCGGGAATAAACAACATGGGGACTGCTTTAGAAAGAAGGTTGCAGTTTATTGAGGAGGAGAGCCAGACGGGAAGATGGCTCTGGAAGAAAAGAGAGCAAGCGCATGTAGGGAGTGGGTTTTTATACCCTCTGGAGCCTTTTGTTTGGAGTTGTTCCTGTGGCATGAACTTTGACCTGAGTCTGAGTGTGCCTTTCTGGTATTCTGATGGTGGTGGGTTAATCCTATTATGTCCCAAAGGTCAATCCTGCTTCCCTGGGGCTGTGACTGATGACTCTTAGATTTTTGGTGTTGATTCTAGGGATCTTTCTTCCTAATCCCAGTTTCCTGACTCCAGTCTTTCTGACAAGATTATCACATCTGCAATTCTACAGACTTGGTTCCTGTTTGGGACAGAGAGACTTGGGGAGGGGTGTTAGGTTTCTGCTTTTAAAATCCTTTAGGGAAATATATTCTGCCTTTTAAATATTTCCAAAAATATTTCTTTCTCTGGGGGGGGGGGGGTGACTTCCCACAGTGCTCTCTGAGCTTGGTTATTTTCTGGCAGATGTTTTGTTACCCACATAAGTAACATCATCAGTGCTAGGAGGGAGGGGAGTTTGGGGAGAGGAGGAGGAGGAGGAGGAGGAGGAGGAGGAGGAGGAGGAGGAGGAAGACTGTGGGGTCTTTAGTGCTCTCTGAGCTGGGTTGATTTCTGGCAGACGTTTCATGACCCCACAA